AAATTTAAATTTAGAACATATGACTAATAATTTTGAGCAAGTGTGTGAGCAATACTTTAGAACATCTGATTCAAGAATTAGAACATGTGAGTAAAAATTAAAAAAAAAAAATTGCTTTATGAAATTTAGAACATATGATTAAAATTTAGAACATCTGATTTAAAATTTGGAACGTGTGAATAAAAAATTTAGAACACTTGGTATAAAATATAGAAGATGGGAGTAAAAATATTAAACATATAAGTAAATAAAATATAGAACATGTGAGTAAAAATTGGAACATATGCTTTCGAATTTAGAACATATAACTAAAAATCTTAGAACACATGTACGTTTTAAAATTTAGAACATATAACTGAAATTTTTTTGAAATAAGTCATTCGAAATTTATAACATCTAACGTAACTAATTTATGGTTTAGAACATGTGAGTATTAATTTAGAACACCTGATTCAATTTAGAACACCTGGGGAAAAGTTTAGAACATCAAATTTTAAATTTAAAACATACGAGTAAAAATTTAAAACATAAAAAGTTTTCTCACATAAGAAAAATTCTCACGAGAGCCTCTCTCTATGTGTGTGTGTGTTTTTTTCTTACGCACAAGAATATAAAATACTAAGGGCGTGTTCTGATTGACTGAGCTGAGCTGAACTGAACTGAATTTATTAGAGCTGAACTGAACTAAACTGAATATTTTATAAGAGAAGTATATTAAGATAAGAATTGAACTGAATTGAACTGAACTGAATTGAAAATAAGCTGAAGAGAACAGGCCCTAGGACGATCAAAGAACAATGCGCAATTATATAGTAATGCCAAATAACCAAAGATTGTTATCTAAAACTCTAAAAGTATGGAGGAATTCAATTAGATAGAACAAGCAGATGACGAAAACATACATATGTCATACATACATCACCTACAACCTGGAAACATGCCCCCCCCCCCTCCCATTTCTTTTTCAAGTTCCGTTAGCTTCTAAGCATAATTTCATGATTGAGAATAAGATATATAATAATCACACATCTAGCTACTTAGTGACTACTCCTCTTTGAAAAACTAATGAATAATTAGTTAGCTTGAAATCAATATAAAAATAATCACCATTTGCCGTAGAAATAATAGCCTCTATGACAAAATGATTCACATAAAAAGATACTAGGCTTAATAATACGGCTAATTGAAATCATCTACACTTTTTTATGGTGTGTTTTATTCACCTAATTTTACTTAAATAAAATCCATTTTGAATATTAATTATATTAGGTATATTATGGTGTGTTTTATTCACCTAATTTTACTTAAATAAACTTACTAACAGATTATATAAACCAATAGTTTTAGACAAACAACTTCCGAAAGCAAGCAAGAACGAATATCACATGCCTTAAGATCATTGATTAAACCGTACCTTCAATTGCTACCCTTATATGTAATACTTGATGCCATAAAATCATTGAATTGGATTGTTTTATTGCCATTTACAATTGGATGATATTCCTTGAGTAGGAAGTAAAGAAGTGGAAATTGTAAAAGTGACTTTAGTAATGCTACATGTTTCTTGTTCAATGGAGGCATGATTTTAATGGTTATATTCAATTGCTAGATGATATGATAATAATTGCATGTCTAAATTACATTGTCTCTATCATCATACACATTATGCTCCTCATTAAACTTCCTCTTTAATCTTTTGGTAATGATTAGGGATTGCACAAGTTTAGCTCATACATAAATATATACAAAGTACTACATGCGATTGTAACACTACTCTACATACATACGTGTAACTAGCTTTGTATGGAGTAAGTGTTTTGCCCTGGAGCCATAGTAAATGTACTCAACGATTGCATTGGATATTAGCATGCGTGCCTTTTAAAACGTGTACACCTCTTTTACCTCCTAATTACGTTTGTTTTACAAATATTAGCTAGTTAGGTGGAAATAATGTCTATGTAAATGATGACGAAGCTATGCTAATAATGCTATATTGTACTCCATATTAAGGGCCTGTTTTCATTGACTGAACTCATCTGAAATGAACTGAAGTGAACGGAGCTGAACTGAACTAAACTGAACTGAAATGAATATTTTATAAGAGAAGGAAATTAGGAGCTGAACTGAACTGAGCTGAACTGAACTGAGCTGAACTGAACTGAACTGAACTGAACTGAACTGAGCTGAGCTGAGCTGAACTGAACTGAATTTCAACGTAAGAGAACAGACCCTAAGTTTAACTAGCCTTCTGCTCCGTGTAATGCACGAGTTGTTCATAGAAAATTGTATTGAGAGATGATTACCAATAAATAATTATTGGTGTGATGTGTAACTGAAAACATAATTAAAGAAATAAAAAAAATCGAACTTTAATTCAAAATTAGGCTTGATAGAAAGAAGGTGGAGGGATTAAAATTCAAGAGAGAAAATAAAATGGTTGAGTTGAAGAGGCTAGGGGAGAATAATGAACATGAAGGTTTAATGAAAGAGTTCAGAAAAATAGTGGAATTAAAAATGTAAGATGGCATGTGGCACATTGGGTTGAAAAAGAAGATGGAGAAGTGTAATATAATGATAACATATGTCCTTTTTAGTTTGAGTTTTTAAATACTAAGTATAGATTCTTAATATTTTAATTCGTATAATGCCTGATTTTGTACTTCATTATTTTTTGTTAACATTCGTTAATACATGTCTTCAACCATTAAATTGTGATCGGCAAGTTAAAGTTCTAGTCAAGAAATTTATATTATTATAAATATTCATTAAACAAATTAAATCTTTTTTTTTTTGAATAGAAAACAAATTAAATCTAATAACATCTACTTGTATCTCACATAATTACTAAGTTAAGTAATCCGCATATTTGTTTTCTTACACATAAGACAAAAAGACGGTCAAAGAAAAGTTCACGAATATTATAATAATGCCAAATAGTCGAAGATTGTTATCGTAAAAATGGAGGAATTCAATTAGATAGAACAAGCAGATGACGAAAAAATACATATATACAATATACATCCTCTCCACAACCTGGAAACATGCCCCCTCTCGCATCTTCTTTTTCAAGTTTCGTTAGCTTCTAAGCATAATTTCATGATTGAGAACAAGATATAATCACACTTCTAGCTACTTAGTGACTACTCCTCTTTGAAAAATTAATGAATAATTATTTAGCTTAAAATCAATATAAATATAATCACCATTTGACGTAGAAATAGCTTTTCTCTTATATATATGACATAAAGATTCACATAAAAAGATACTAGGCTTAATGATACGGCTAATTGAAATCATATACACTTTTATGTTTACAAATTTAAAAGTGTAGATTGTTAGCTACGCGAAAGTGATAGGCCTAATTACTCTCTATTCCAAATAATAATCAAAATTTCCTCTATTTCCTTTCGTACATATAAAGCATGAGGTTTTTCCAATATATATAATTGTACGCACACGCTCATTTCTGATCTTTAAAAATATGAAATATAGGTTTAATTTCTAATTTAATATTATGTATGTGACGGTACAAATTAATTAATTGTATCGACTTAATTCAAATAACATTTGATGTTAATTTTAGTAGTTAAAATCGATATACATTCAATTTAATTGATTGATAGTATTTTTTTAGGTAGGTAAGATGAATTGTTTTATTAAATCGGAATACTTTAAACACAAGTCAATTTGCTGCATTATTCATTCTACGAAATGGAATCCAATTCATGCAGAAAAGTTTGGAGGATATTTTACATGTTGATTTTCTACTTCCATTAATATTTGAACTGTATGTATGTCTAAATTTGAGAAATAAAGATTGTCCATCAATTTGTGGTCCTACAATTCATCGGAACCACATCAAATAAATACTATACATTCTCATTTCAACATCGCAACCCTTTTTTTTTTTTTTTTTTTTTTGGGGAGAAAGCTAAGATTGCCAACGATTATTGCAGTCCTTTAAATTTTAATGGCTAATATAGTAGTATCTGCCTACGAAAAATTAAAACAAATGAAAATCAAGATCTTTGTATTTTTTTTTTTTTTGAAACAAAGATCTTTGTATATTACGTCCTTCTCTCGACATATTGAACCTTTTTCATAAAATCAACGTTCATTGTTAAGTACATTATGGTGCATTCTATTCATCAAATTTTACTTAAATAAACTTACTTAAACCTTATTAAAAAAAAATAAAAATTATTGTAATTGTAAATTGAACTTTGGTAGGAGCAGCTCTTATTATTTTATTATTATTTTTTTTTTACCATTTTTAAAAATTATCTTCACTTTAAATGAACTAGTTTATCTTTTCTAAAGTTATTAGCCGTTATTTATACTTATTAATCTTGAAAACTGTAAGTAAGGGCATGTTCCGATTTACTGAAAACAACTAAACTAAACTGAACTGATTGGGGCTGAACTGAACTGATTGGAGTTAAACTGAAGTAAACTGAATAGAGTTGAAATGAATTGTTTATGAGAGAAGGAAATTAAAAGCTAAACTGAACTGAACTGATTGAAACTAAATTGAACATTTTAGAGCTGAGATGAACTGAATTGAACTGAATACAGTTAAAATATACTGTTTTAATTTTGAGAGAAGGAAATTAGGAACTAGACTGAATTGAATAGATTGGAGCTTAAATGAACTGAACTAAAATTAAGCTGAACAAAACAAGTCCTAAGATGAACAAAACATGACCTAAAAGTCCTTTCAACAAGTCTAAACTAGTAGTAAACACTTACTCGATAATTAACTCTTTTCAATTTATATAAGATACTTACGCAAATGACATTGGAGCTCATCAAGCAAATACAAGAGTACAGCGTATATAATCATCTCTGATAACCTTATTACTAGATGAACTTGTTCTTATTGGAGCTCATCAAGCAAATGCAAGAATGACTTATGATGGTTAATTAATATAGGGAAACTAACAACATTAGCTTAGACAAACGACTCCTAAAAGCAAGCAAGACGAATATTGCATGCCCATATTGTGTTTTTCCATTCTAAATTATACGGTGTCTCTTAATTGCACGCTAAGCCGACCTAATGACATCTTTACATAGCAAATTCACTAATTATAAAATCTGACTCGAATGATCAACAAAAATGCAGCAAACTTTAAGTTGATCCAAGTCATTAAATGTACTCAAATCATTCTACCATCCTCCATTTATAAATGGAACAAAACCTACCTAGCTAGCTTTTACACAAGTCGTTATGCATTTGATGATTTAACCCTTTGCTTTCCTTCTACTCTCTTCTTCCTTCCCCATTATTTGACCACCTTTCTAAAAAAATAAATTAAAAAATAAATAAATTATTTCCCTTCTATTTATTTCTTGGCGGGCTATGGGCCCACTTTCTTCTATCAAATCCTCACATTAATACCCCTACCCACCTCTTCTCAACCGTATTCTCTCTCCTCCAAAAATAATTCTAAGATTTCTTAAACAGCAAAAAAATTTAACTAACACTTACGAAGTATACACAAGTCATCCTTTGTTGATGTAACACTAACACCCCAAATATTTCACTAATTTGTAAAAAAAAATGAACCTCCAATTTTTTCTTTGTTCATTCCTCCTCCTCTTCACGATCACATCTAGAGTTTATTCTTTATCCCCCGACGGCCTCGCTCTCCTTTCCCTCAAGTCGGCCGTTGACCACTCATCCTCGTCCGCAGTATTTGCGGACTGGGACGAGAATGACCCCGATCCCTGTGGATGGACCGGGGTCTCCTGCGACGGAAATTCCACTACTAGTCCCAACCCTCGGGTTGTTGGAATATCCGTCGCAGGAAAAAATCTCCGAGGGTACATCCCCTCGGAGCTCGGCTCCCTTACTTTCCTTCGGAGATTAAACCTCCACGGGAACAGTTTCTACGGCTCGATTCCTGATCAAATCTTCAATGCGACTTCGCTCCATAGCATTTTCTTGTATGGGAACAATCTCTCTGGTCCTCTCCCAACCTCCATGTGCTCACTTCCAAAAATTCAGAATGTAGATGTTTCTGGAAATTCTCTCTCCGGCGAGATTCCGAATGGTTTGAAGGAGTGTAAGCAGCTCCAAAGACTGATTCTGGCGAGAAATAACTTCTCCGGTGAACTTCCTGGAGGAATTTGGCATGAACTAGTGAATCTAGTTCAACTTGATTTATCATCTAACCAGATACAGGGGAAAATCCCTGAGCAGCTCGGAGAGCTAAAGTCGCTCTCCGGGACATTAAACCTTTCGTTTAACCATCTATCCGGGAAGATCCCCAAGTCACTCGGGGATCTTCCCATGACGGTGAGCTTTGACCTGAGGGCGAATAACTTGTCTGGGGAAATCCCCCAAACAGGCTCATTCGCCAATCAGGGGCCCACCGCCTTTTTAGGGAACCCGCTCTTATGCGGGTTCCCATTACAAAAGGACTGTACTAAAACAACAACAAACCCGAACTCTCCCCCACCCGAGGACAGTAGGGGGATCAGCCCCAAGCGAAAGGGGCTAAGCCCGGGGCTGATCCTCCTCATCTCCGCAGCAGATGCTGTAGTAGTCGCCTTTGTGGGACTCGTCCTCGTATACTATTACTGGAAGAAAAAGGATCACTCCTCTGGATGCAGCTGCACTGGCACCATCAAGTTAGGACGGCACATGAACAAAGATAAAAAAACAGGGCTCTGCTTTGGGTGCTTCAGAGGCGGATCAACAAGCAACGACATAGAAAGCGAGTCGGATAAGGGGAGTTCCGAAGGCGGCGAGGGTGGTGGAGAAGGGGAAGGAGAGCTAGTAGCAATTGACAAGGGTTTTACATTTGAGTTGGATGAATTGTTAAGAGCATCAGCTTATGTTTTAGGAAAAAGTGGGTTAGGAATAGTTTATAAAGTAGTGCTTGGAAATGGTGTGCCAGTTGCTGTTAGAAGATTAGGAGAAGGTGGTGATCAACAAAGGTATAAAGAATTTGTTGCTGAAATTCAAGCAATTGGGAAAATTAAGCATCCAAATGTGGTTAAATTGAGAGCTTATTATTGGGCTCCTGATGAAAAATTGCTCATTTCTGATTTTATTTCTAATGGCAATCTTGGTAATGCTCTTCGAGGTCAGTCCAAATCTCTCTTTTTGGTTAATTCTTTTATAATTTTGTCTTTTTTTTTACTTAGAAAATACTCTTATATAATATTATTATTGTGCATGAATAAAATTATGGTATAATTAATTAGGTGGATAAGGAGGTGAGTTTAATTTATGTTTCCTTTGACTTAAATACATACAGTACAATGTTTTGAATTTGGTTTATTACACTGGTTTAAGTACAAAATCTAATTGAAGGAATGTTGTTTATGGTGCATAAAGGACAATTATTAATTTTGAGACTTAAGTACGAACAACTTTTAAAATTTAAAATCCTATTTAATAGCCTTTTTTGTTTGAATTATGATATTTTAGTGGTTTAATACTACGGAGTATTTATACTACTAGTCTACTAGGCCTCTCCAAATAGCACCGTTACGAAAACACAAGCTAATAACGTGATAACTAATTTCAAACAGAGATATAAATGGGATCCAGCATAGCTTATAAGAAGTATATGCTCAAAGGACAAAAACCATATCATGTAGGCTAAGCTAGCTGCTAAATGACTTGCCTTTGTCATATATGGGAATATATTGGTAAAGTTTGAGTGCAGCATCCTTTTAGATTACTAGCAGTAGCATAGTTTGCATGAAAGTTGAGTAATTTATGGTTTTTTTATACAGTACTTAGAATAAATAATTAATCAGTCTTATGTCTAATATAATTAGCCTTATGTTTGTCATTTAGTGATCCACTACGCTATAGATTTGCTACTTCAAGTCATGCCAAAATCAAGCTTATTTTATGTCTCAAAAAATATATATATAAGTGGTACTATATTATTGTCTAATTTTATACTTCATTTAAAAATGGTCCTCACATCGATCTTTTGGGAAATCTTTGCTGTTAGTTAGTAGCTGATGGTCTATGTTCATGTTGAGAATGAGTGGGCAAAAGTTATTTGACAAAAAAATGAATTTTATTTGTTGGATTCAAAACTTAGCATTATGATACAATGATATATGACAGATCGTTATTTGATAATCATCTTGAAAAAACACAACTGTTTATAGGAGTTGGATTTTTTTTTTTTTTTTTTTTATGTGTCTGACCTGCAAAAAACAAGTGTTGTTACTCACAAGTCACAACTCCTTAAGAGAAAAAGAAAGTGCATGTATTTACGACGACTTTTCAACGTGTTGAATAGTTAGCCACAATCACAGGCTTCTCATGTACAAAAATGGTATATGTTGCAAAAATTTTGGAGTGATGGTAGGGAGTATGACGCTATAATTAAGAGATTATTGAATCATATCATAACACTATTATGTAATACGCACATGGTTGAGATAAGGGTGATCGGCCGGGTACAATATGTGTGAGCCTTATGACTTCTTTTTTTGGAGCCTTACGACTTGGATTATGCAACCTTGATGAATCCCCACTATTAATACTAGTTACCACTTACCAAGTACCATACCTCTATATGCAAAAAATTTAATACAACATGAAATTATGAATATATAAACATAACACCTAGCTATGGCCCATAACATTATAATATGAGATGTTACATATAGTTAATGTTGGTCATCCTTCAATCCTTTTCTTTCTTACTTGTCCTTGAATTATAGAGTTTAATTTGGTGGGGGTAACCAATATTTATGGCCAACTAATCCAATGCTACAAAAAATGACATTGATGGTACATAAAATGATAAATATGTTAGGATGTAATGAGTAGTTTTCTTGGTGGGTAGCTCTGTTTAGGACTATGTAGTGAGCATCCAATGATGAAAATGTGGAGTAGTAGCTTTGAAGGCACTTTGGTGAAATGATACTTAAAAGTCGTACACCATTGTTACTTGTGGAAGTTTGAGAGTTAAGGTTGTTCCCCATTACCATGAAATAACATTGTTTGTTTTATTAGAAGTACTACCTAGCTTTTTGCGTTACATGGTGCATTTATTGAAATATATATCACCTATTATTAATTAAACCCAAAAAAAAAACTCACCTCCCTTTTTATGTATCTTGGGTAGCTAAGGATTATTTTGGGTAATCATATAAATTAGAAACATTAATTAGATTATATACTTATATGAATAATATTTAATGATAGATTGTGCATATAAAAAAAAATACGAAGTATATATAACATTAAAATAAAAATAAATGTGATGCATTTTACTTTATAGAAATAGTTAGAAATATATATATTTATGACGACCTAACTAGAAAAACTGCAATTTTTGATAGATTAAAAGCAATTAACTTTTATTGTAATATTTTTTGTTTCCCTACTTATTTTAAATATAGTTTTGAAACACAATGTCAAAATGTCAAACTATATCTAAAGAGACCTTGACTAATAAATTTTGGCCATGTAGTTCATACCACTAACTTTGGTAGTTGACCTAAAATGGTTTTCTGTCAATCAAAACTTACCTAAGAATGTTTACTTGGTTGCACATTTAACTAACAGTCACACTATATTCAAACATTGGATGCTTTTAACTGCATTATTTTTCTTGGAAATTTCTACAAATAATGGATAATTAGTCAAATTAAACCCCCCAAAATAAGCAATAATTATGTAGCACTCTCAGGACTTTCAGATTTAGATCCATCATTATATTATTTAATTATAAGTTAAATAATTATGTAGCACTCTCAGTACTTTCAGATGGATATTCAAAACTCTTTTGTCTTTGTCTTTGTAGGCTTTGGTTGCCAAGATTCTCTCACTGGCTAATTGGTGCTGCCAAAAACTATAGAATATATTTGATTTTCTCTTAATTGAATTTGCTTCAATTAGTTTTAGATTAACATTCAAATAGTTTAGTGTTATGCCAATAGGGGTTTAGGTTGTAAGAGGTATTAGGTTCGATTCTTATCTAATCTTTTAGTTTTTTTTTTCGAACCAACAAAGAATTAAAGTCTTAGTGCACATGTCGTTAATGTAAAATAACATGGGTGATTAAACGAGAATTGATGCTCGTACATAAATTGCATTTACTATTACACGTGAGTAATGTGACAAATTTCATTATTGATGAAACAGGGAGAACAGGGCAACCATCAACAAGCCTAACATGGAAAACAAGGTTGAAAATAGCCAAAGGAACGGCTAGAGGTTTGGCCTATCTTCATGAATGTAGCCCTAGGAAATTTGTTCATGGAGATATTAAGCCATCAAACATCCTCCTCGACAACGAGTTTCGACCACATATCTCCGATTTTGGCCTAAATCGTTTGATTAGCATCGCGGGGAACAATCCTTCCTCCTCCGGTGGGTTCATGGGAGGTGCACTCCCGTATGTTAAGTCCACTAGTCAAGAGAAAATAAACAACTATCGTGCACCCGAGGCAAAAATCCCTGGTAGTCGACCAACTCAAAAATGGGACGTCTACTCATTTGGAGTAGTCGTGCTCGAGTTACTAACAGGGAAATCCCCTGAACACTCTTCCCCAACAACATCGACTTCAACTGAAGTACATGATTTGGTGAAATGGGTTAGGATGGGTTTTGAAGAGGAAAACCCGCTTTCGGAAATGGTAGATCCTATGTTGTTACAAGAGGTACATGCTAAGAAAGAGGTGTTGGCTGCCTTTCATGTGGCTCTTTCTTGCACTGAAAGTGATCCTGAGGTTCGACCTAGGATGAAAAATGTGTCTGAAAATCTTGACAAAATTGGGAGTTGAAAAATATAGTGATAATTTTGGTTATGATTATTGTTATTATTATTATTATTTGTGGTGATTTTTTGTAAAAATTGAATATGAGCATCCTCCAGCATTTTTGCAGATTCAAGAAGTTAACAATTTGTGCTCCACAAATTGGTAGGTTTTGACACAAATAAAACTATCATTTTGGCTTCATTTATACATTTACAAAAAAAATTATGTAGGTTGGGTTGAGGTGGAGGGGTGGATACACATTCTATGATTCTCATTTGTAATTTAAAGTAAACTAGCTTTTTGGCCTGTACGATATAAGGTTTTATTTACTTTAGTTATGATTTTTGTAACATTAAGTGTAATCTATATTCCTAAACGAACAAATGATTGAGAATCGTTCCTTATTCCTTAATTAGTTTGTGAGTAGATTATATTTTCCCTTGCATACAATTGATCTATTCAAAAGACAATTAGTATCTAAAAGTAGGTTGTTCCATTTTCTTGCTTAATTATGCAAATTAATTACTTTTTCATGTTGATATTCATGAGACAGAACACAAATAGACAATTATGAAATATTATTAAAACAAGGGTTTTTCTATATAGTAATCCTGTTTTTTTTTTCACTTTTCTACGTTGTGTCTCAACATATATCACTTTCTACACTGTAACCCCAATATATTTTTTGTTTCCATACGGTAACCTTGTCGTTATCTTGCCGTTAAAAAATTCCATTAGTGGGGCCCACTATCCATTATTAATATTTTTTATCGATTTGCGCGCTGAAAAATATTCCGTCAAAGGGTTCGAGAGCTATTTTGGCACTTAGGAGTCCAAATTGAGCTCAGATTTGGCAAAGAAATAACGTAAATGCCTCGTTTTGTGTGTTAAAATGTGAACACGTAAATCAAGACATTTCTTAATAAGCAAAACAAGGCATTTACGTTATTTTTTTGCCAAATCTGAGCTCAATTTGGACCCCTAAGAACCAAAATAGCCCCGAAACCTTTGACGGAATATTTTTCAACGCGCAAATCAATAAAAAAATACTAATAATGGAGAGTGGGCCCCGCTAACAGAATTTTTTAACGGCAGGATAACAGCAAGGTTACCGTATGGAAACAAAAAATATATTGGGGTTACAGTGTAGAAAGTGATATATGTTGGGGCGCAACATAGAAAAGTGAAAAAAAAAAATAGGGTTACTATATAGAAAAACCCTTAAAACAATGTTAGTTCAATATGTGTTTAAGGTAACTTGACATAGAACACATAGAATGAAATGAAATAATTACTAGTTATTTTGGCATCCACCTTCAGTTTATGTTTTTTAACCTTCCATCTTTCATGACAAACTGAAAATCTGTATCAAAACAGTAACCAATCAAACCAATTAGTACCAAGAAAGGCGACAATTAAGAAAAAGTTGAACCACTTACTTTAAATAAAAATAGAGGAGAATCATTGGCATGTTACCGCCACGTGTTAAAACGTTAAGCCTTTATCAAAGTATTGCAGCGGAAATCCAACTTACATCTTAAAATAATATAATTTAGAAAATCAATAAGTCAAAGCTTACAAATTGGAACCATAAAGGCCCTTATTAAAACCAAACCAATATTCAAAATCCTAAAACATAATTAAAATAGTAAAACGTAAATAAGTTCAACACAAAGAACGAATACTCTCAATCACACCAATCCCTTGACAATGCGTATGTCAAATCCCCGAACTTCACATCATCAAGCTAACTTGTGCAATACTGCTCCCCAATAATACAAGTGTAATAATTGGATCATCACAGGGTCATTGAAAGGCGAAGGCCATGACCAAAAGAAAACACAGAAAAGCACGCAATCAGCAAAGCTGAGTACATACAAGCTACAACGTACCAAACCTAGCATGCTCAACTAATTAAAGTAAATAAACATACAACTTGAATTCATTAATCAAGACTCCACACTTAAACAATCCAATCGACTCAACATACTTTGCTAATCAATTCCAAACACTTGACACTTTATATTTAATTTAATTAATTTAATTTGGAGTAAGCAATAGACGAGGTTGTCCAATCCACCAAATCATTTTGGTCCCAAATGACCATTTAAAATAAAAGTTTAGCGCGATGCAAGAATGGACGCGACTCCATTCTCACAAAGTTAGTCTAGGATCCCATCTAACTTTCATTATAAAATAAAAATGTAAATACCAAAAGAGAAGAGGACATGTTGATCAAACAAGCCTCGGAAAGCCACGGGCTACCACCGTGTACCCCAACCCATAATTGTCAATACTCTAGAAGTGCACGCTTTCTAGAGTTTTATTACTCATCCATGTTTCACTTTACGTGATTACAATTTTAATTAATAGCCGACTCAATCAGATAGACCATACATAAAAATCATACATCAATTTACTTTTAATCTTATTTAGGACAATGGTGATCACATCACAATTTGACCTTTAATTTCATTAAACTTCCAAATTATCCAAATTGTTGAACATAGTCAACCCACCTAGCCATTTCGGCTTAATCCACTTTTACTCAACATACTAACAAGTCATGCTTGATTAATAAATAAAATAAATAACAACCTTGTGGAATAATTAATAAATTCATTCCAATTAAACCATTCAATTCCAATCCTTTAATAATCCAAATGTGGTTAACAAACCAATCCAATAAAAAAAATGTGCTTGTATCAACATTCCATACAAATAATTAATCCAATATAATTCAACATGTTTGCATCATAATTCCATACAAACATAATCAATTCACCAAAACATGTCTCATAAATATAAGCACATGCATAAATCAAATGTATAACCAAACAATTTCCATCCAAGTGTTCTCTAATCATGAAACTAAGTTCTTTTCTTTGGTACCTAGACATGATACTACTTACAACGAAGTAGACATGTACGTACCTCGTATAAACAATCCTTTGTGCCACTTTTAATCACTTAAAAGTCTCCTAGAGAATAATCACCTCCTAGAATACAACCAATAATCACAAATTAACACTTAAACAAATTTCCAGCAATATAAATTTGATTAAAAGTTCTTAAACTTCATTAAAAACATGTTTTTATGCTTAATTAATCAATAGAAATTCAATAGGAACAAAAGCCCCAAATTAATTAGTCATAAGAACCCTAAAATCCCAATTTAAATAAATTGAAACCCTAGGTTTTAAAATTATAAAATCTGAAAATTATAACAACAATTATAATCTGAAATTATTAGTTTAAAACATCAAAAACATGATTTTGATACTAAAAATATAAACTTTATACTATAAAATCAAAACCCAAAACTAATTAATCAAACATTAAGCATAAATGAAATAAAACAAAGGAGAGAGAGAGGGGCAGCCATGGTGGGCCACGGCTGGGCCGCTGGTGGTCGCCGACGGTGGTGGGCGGTGTCCGGCGACTGGCGGTGGTGGCGGGCAGCAGGCGGCAGTTGGTGGTGAGTCAAAACTCACGTAAAGAGGAGGAAAAAAAAGAAAGAAAAAGAAAAGAAATAGGGAAAAGAAAAGAAAATAAAAGGAAAAAGAAAAATAAAAATAAAAGGAAAATAAGAAAATAAAATAAAGAGGAGAGAAAATAAGACTAACCTTTAGTGTGGGAAAAATTTGGGGATGTATGGGGTATTTATAGGAGAGAGAGTGGTGTAGGGTAAATAGTAAGATTGGGCCTCATAAAATTAATGGGCCAATTAAGTAAGTAAGATGAGTTTGGCTTTGTTTATTTGGACATGAATTATAGAATGAAGGTATGTATAAAAATTTGTACCAAAATAATTTTCGACCCAAATTAAAAATTGCAACTTTTGAAATTAAATTCCGGAAAAATACAAATAAATATTATAAATAAAATATAATTTCATTTATAATATATTTAAAAATACGGGGGATTACAGCTGCTCATCAATTAAATCACTCACCTGAACTAAACCATGACACACAGGGCTAGAAATAAACCGACCAGCATCACCAACAATCCAAGGATCTTCCAAAATATTTACCTGTTCTCCTGTCCCAATTCGCCAGAGAATTCCTTCCTTGAAGAGTGCCTTTGAGCTCCATACACTTCACCAAGAGTAGCTCCCTCCATACCCCAGAGACGACTCTAAAAAAGGGCTCCTAGGGTAGTACCATGCCTTCATGACTTTACCAAGCAGCGTATTTTCCCCTTTCATCAATCTCCAAGCTTTTCGTCCTAGTAGGGCATCATTAAAAACAATTAAGTCCCTAAAACCTATTCCTCCAAAACACTTCGGATTGCACATATCCTTCCAACTCCTCCAATGGACACGCCTACGGTCATCACTATTCCTCCAAAAGAAGCGGCTCATGGCAGATTCGAGATTCTGAATCACATGTACCGAGAATTTATATATTCCCATTAAATATGTGGGAATAGCTTGTATAACGGACTTTAGGAGTACTTCCTTTCCGGCCCGAGACAAGAGTTTTTCTTTCCACCCCTGCAACTTTTTCCATACTCTATCAAGAATAGCACTACAAGAAAATAACCTTTTCGTAGCGATTATTTTAACCTATAGTATCGATTGTAATTGCAACAAAAAGCTTTCCCAACGAATGGTCATTCGATACAATATCCCCCGCTGCCTTAGCCTTTAGTAGTGGTCATGCGTATGATCTTTACAAGATTCGAACATGCAACCTCAAACTCTTATATTAAATGTTTCACCAATAAGCTATGACATATTTTATGTATTCTTTGTCAAATAATATTTATATATCTAGTGTTGAAAAGGCTTTTCGTATCGATTTTTAGGATTTAGTGGCGATTGTAAATGATACGATTTCTCAAAAGTTTATAAATTTGTAAAAATAGTGTGGATATGTATTATAATGTTTTCCGTATCGATTTTATATGGGAAAACCATGGCGATTGTAAAATGATACGACTTCCTTAATTATTTCACAAACATACTTGCATATTGTAGCGAATGTACAATCGCTACGACATAATCGCTACGAAAAGATATTTTTCTTGTAGTGTAGCTCTGAAAATGGCTTTTTTTTATCTCCCCACCACCATAGGAATCCCCAAATACTTCTCATGAACATCCACCCGTTTCATATTCAATAGCCTCAACAGCTCTTCTTGCCGATTCGCATCAACACCTCTACTAAAGGAGACCTCAGACTTGTCATAGAACATATAGAATGAAATGAAATAATTACTAGTTATTTTGGCATCCATCTTCAGTTTATGTTTTGTTTTTGTTTTTTACCCTTCCATCTTTCATAATAAACTGAAAATCTGTATCGAAACAGTAACCTGTAGACACCCAAATGTGTCTCCCCAAAACCAAACCCAGTGATGAGTACCTTTCGCGTCGAATCATAATCGAAT